ATGCTTCCCCCTCCATGCCAGTCCCCGCCTATCGTTGCCCCTCATCCTCCGCAGCAGTCTACCGTTACGTTTTCCCACCTGCTCCAGTGCGCCCAGTGGCAGGCGCGGCCCGCCGGCGTCGCGTCCGCTAGCACTGCCAGCAAACAAATCTTTCGAGGGCCTGTTCTGCCTTTTGGAGCTTCGTAGATCGATCCGGCGCGCTGGGACACTGGGATCCTTCGCCATCCAGGTGCAGCGGGCATGCCGGTATTCTTGTCGTTCGTGATGTTTGTTGTGCCTTTCTCGTTTTCTGAACGTTGGGCAAACCGAGCTTGTGCTGTCGTCGGAAGTCTCGAGGGGCACCGTGCCAAATCATGCCAGCCGTGTTCCCTCATTCCATAGCCCATTCCAATCAAAGCATCCAACCCACACCCCAAATCATTTGCATCCCATTCCATACCATCATCCTGCCGCCGTCATGCCATTTCCGTCCCCTTTCCCGCTCCCAATCGCCATCTCCATCCCATCTCGATCGCATCCCCATCCAATTCCAGTCGTCTCACGAAGGATGCCTGCCTCCTCCCCGAACGGAGCAGCCGTCAGCGGGGCGCGGCCATGCTGGCCGAGATGGGCTCCAGGGGGCGGCGGGCGCGGGCACCTTCGAGCGCCGACTGCGCAGGGGAGGCCTGGCAAAGGCGCTGGGGCTGCCGCGCCTGGCACAGGGCTCATCTGGACTCCTCCGACTCGATTCGATTCGATGTCGGTCGTTTCCGATTCTCGCTCCGCTTCGGCTTCGGACTCCGATTTGGATTCTGGCTTCTCAGTGGAGGCCTTATCGGCTTGCCGATCTTCGCCGATTCGATTTCTTCCGGTTTGACTTCCAGATTCCGCCGAACCGATTCATTTCGACCGCCGATCCGACTCATCGATTCGATTCCGGCCTCTCCTAGCCAGCATGGCCGGCCCCCATGCCCATTGTTGGCCAGTCGGTAGCCTTGTGGCAGCACGAGGCCCGTTGGTTCGCGCGTTTAAAGGGTATATGTTTTCGTTGTCGCTTTTTTCGGGCGCCTCGCCTCTTATCATTCGCCGCCATCGTGCGATTGCCGCCCCCCCTGAGCGCAGAGCGGCTTCACTCCCTGCGCCCCAATGCAGCTCTTTCGGTGGCGTACTCCGAACCTTACCCTCGCCGATCAACGATTCAGGCAACTCGATGGGCGGCTGGGGTAGGGTCCGGAACTCGTTGAACACGTGGCGACATCCGAACTCTAACCCCCGCGAAAGCGCTATTTTCACAGTGTGCCTTGATCTGCACAATTCGACGGGATCCGCTGCCCTTCGGCCCAGGCCACATCAGAACTTGTGTCGAACAAGTCCACTGAATTAGGCGGGCGCTCTGAAGATAGGAGGATGTGGCCTGGCCAGCCTCTCATCTCCCCGCCTTGCTTGTCGAGCCCCTTGTCATCAGCTGCCTGGCAGCATCCATGCAGCCAGCCAGCCCAGAGATTCAGATTTTCGGCGTTTGCTTTTCCACTCCTGCTTGGGAGGTTGATCGCTTGAAGGCTCGGAGTCTCAACATTGGACGCCTTGGCAGCTCTGAGTGAGCCAGATGCCCCCCCCACGCTCCGCTTGTCTAGGCCTCCCAGATGGGTTCGGAGTAGATGGGGTCGGAGGATCTCGCCGAAACGCCGACGCACTGCATTGTCAATGCATCGGCAATGCATCGACCACGTATTGTATCGGCGATGCGGCAAGATCCTCCGACCCCATCTTTTCCGACCCCATCTTGGAGGCCTCTGCTCTCTACAATCAAAGCGCATAGTAAGGATGGTACATTTTCCTAGGTAGCCCTTGCATCCCTTCTCTTTCGGCCCATCCTTGGCAACTTTTGCTGGCCAACCCCGTTTCAACAGTATCGACATGGCCCTCCAAGGCCCTGGCACCCTTATCGTGCATCCTTATTATACGCCTTAATTGTATTGGCGGCTCCGAGTGGGCTGGAGGCCACCCCACTCTCCGCTTGCGAGGCAGCTGGAGCACGAGACCAGCTCGCGGAGAGGGCTCCAGACCGCGAAGGAGGCCTCGCGGGCTCTCGTGCAGGGGCGGACCCCCCCCACCCGATCGCTGATCAAGGGTCCATTCTGTTGAAGCCGGCCGGGGGGTGGAGATGGCCCAGCATTGGTTCCGATACGCAGGAAGGCAGAGCGGAGAGGTTCGAGGTTGATGGTTCGGGGAGTTTTTGTTTTTGTTCTGTTTTGCCAGTTTCGGTTTCCAGGGGCCGTTTTCGGGGCCCAGGATTTTCAGCAACGGATCCAGAGTGAAGCACTGCACCGGACGGACCCCGGGAGGGGTCCGGGGACCGATTTGAGCGGATTTGCAGTCATCCACCGTCTGTACCGATTTTCTCGGGGCCCATGCAGTTTCAGACCCTTTTGGCCGCTTACAACAATTCAGTAGCAGCAGCGACAAACATAGCAGCAGGTGGAAAGGGTGGCTTGCAGGCAGGCGACAGGCTGGCAGGGCAGGTTGCCATACGGACAAGATGTATATCCAAATCCAATGTATCTTGGAGTTTGGGGCTCCCTTCCCCATACGTCCGAGGCGCAGCGATATGGACAAACATATGCCCTCTATAGTGTAGGCCAGATCTCAATCCATTTCCATATGCGCCTCGGCCTTTTGACGCCCTTCCCAGGAAGTCCAAGACGCAGTGTATATACATACCCCAGTACTTACAAAACTACAGACATACATACACATATATACGTACGTACGTACGTACATACATGCATACATGCATGCATACAATTATGTATACATCTCTCACTCGATCGGTCTCACTATCGATCTCACTATCGATCTCACTATCGGTCTCGCTCGATCGATCTCACCCGATCGATCTCACAATCAATCTCACTCGATCTAGTTCATTCGATCGACGTCCCAATCGATCTCCCAATCTCACTATCGATCTCACTATCGATTTCACAATCGATCTCACAATCGATCTCACATTCGGTCTTACTATCGATCTCATTATCGATATCACAATCGATCTCAAAATCAACGTTATCATCATCATCACCAACATCATCGTCATCAACGTCATTAACATCATCGTCATCATCGGGACACCATCACCATCATCACCTCATCACCATCATCAACAACATAAGCATCATCACCATCATCATCATTATCGGGACACGATCATCTTCACACTCATCATCATCATCATCAACATCATCATCAGGACACCATCATCATCACCATCGGAACACAACCATCATTATCACAATCATCATAATCCCATCATCATCATGAACAGCATCATGAACATCATCATCGGAACACCATCATCATCAGCAACATCATCATCAACATCATCATGATTTGGACACCATCATCATCGTCACCATCATCACCATCACCACCATCATCATCGAGACTCCGTCGTCGTCATCATCAGCACCATCATCGGGCCACCATCATCAAATTCATCATCAACACATCGTCATCATCCTCATCAACATCATCATAATCATTATCATCATCAGGAACATCATCGCGACACACTCATTGTTATCATCATCAACATCATCATCATCGGGGCACCATCATCATCAACACCTCATCATCATTAACAACATCATCATCAACCTCATCAGCATCATCATCATCATCATCATCATCGGGATGCCATCATCATCACCTGCATCATCATCACCATTTCATTATCTCATATCATCAACATAATGAGGATCGTCAACATCATCATCATCAGGACACCATCATCACCACCAACATCATCATCAACATCATCATCATCATTATCATCGGGGCACCATCATCATCACCACCATCACCATCATCATCAACATCGTCAACATCACTATCATCGTCGTCATCATCATCATCGGGACAGCATCATCATCACCACGATCACCATCACCATCATCATCATCATCATCAACATCATCGACATCATCATCATCATCATCATCACCATCATCGGGGCACCGACGGGACCTCAGCGGGACACCGCGGGCCACCGTCCCCCGGAAAGGAATCATTTCGTCCGGCCGCGCCTCAGCCGGAGGAGATGTTCTTCTCGCCCGCCCACACAGCTTCGCCTCGCCCGCACGCACGGCACGCACGAACACGAAACCAAAACCGATTTCCCGGTAGGGGGGCTCTCCGTTCCACTTCGATCTCACCCCCTCACCTCCGATGTAATTACGGATTGCCTGCAGCTTGCAGGCAGGCGGCAGGCTGGCAGGGCAGGCTGCCAGTCAGGGAGGCATCGAGGTGCCAGTCATGGTTGGATGACAGACGTAATGATGGTGACTAGTGCGTTCGTGGCCGTAGCAGCCGTATATGGTTATCGTAAGAGTGGTACTGGTTAAAACGTAATGTTGGCCAAACTGATGTTGGCGCCTTGCTATCTGACAGGCATGTACAAGCTTCATTGCGCCCGCCTATGGTTTGTTGTTACGCATGTATGCGTAGTTTCGGCCTCGAGACACGCCAGTACATGACGCGGGCAGCATACACCTGTTTCAGATTGCATTCAAGGGCGTAGGTGGTTCATGCGCAGCACTACTCGTAAAAAGAGCTTGCGCTCTTGTTGTCGATGTTGTTGCGCCGCGGACCTCCAGTATACCGCGACATGGAGATGGGACAGGAGAGACAAGAGGCAAACACATGTAATACATATAGAGACCGCAAGAGAGCAGTCTGGCATGATCCTTCACAGCCTTGCGCCCCCCAGGGGGTCTCTCTCTCTCTTTTTCTCTCTCTCCGTCTGTAGAGACATAGGTGTTTGTACACGCGCACAAAAGTCTATCTCTCTCTCTCTCTCCTTCTCTCTCCTCTATCTCGCACTCGTTCTTTCCATACGATGATATCTAAACATATGGATTGACATTATGAAGGTGTACATCGATTGGGGCGTTTCCTCCGTGTATATTATTGGGGCCCATGTCGGCCTCTCTTCGGGCCCTCATTCGCCGTATCGTGGCTCTCGTGAAGCCTCAGAGGCTCTTCAGAGGCCGAATTGGCGAGAAGTTGGGTATCGCGCAAATAGAGCACAGCTGATTCTTCCCCCAAACACTTTGAATCACAGCGCTCAATCAGTCAAGCCCCCTGCCCCGCTTACCCCCGCTGAAGGTTGAGATTCCCTCCTCCACAGCTGCTCCGATGTCGGCGATGACGCAGCCTCACGTTGTTTTCATGAATATCGCTGCGACGGGCCACATGAATCCCACTCTGCCGTTGGTGTCGCGCCTGGTCTCGCGGGGTTGCAAGGTCACCTATTTCGTGGACGGCTCCATGCGGGCCGTCGTCGAGGCCGCTGGCGCGGCATGGAAGCCCTTCCGGTATGCCAACCACGACTTCACCGGCATCCTCAGGCAGCCCGGCCATTTCGCGGCGTTGACGGCCGCCGAGCGCGCCGCCGTGGGCCTGACCGACGACGCCCCAGAGCACCTCACGCGGTTCCCCTTCAGTGTGATGTACAACTCGCAGTTGGTGCTGCCCCAGCTCCTCGACGACGTGCGCGCCCTTTCGCCGCGCGTGAGCGCCATCGTCTGCGACCCGTTCCTGCCCTGCGGCCGGGTGGCGGCTCACGTGCACGGCGCCGCACCAGTCAGTATGCTCACGATGCCAGGCCCAGGCGTCTTCACGCTGCCGGACGAGGTGGTCAGGGGCAACGCCGCGGGGGGACAGTTTCTACGTTTTCGTTGGTTTTCGTGCTTTTTGGTTTGTTCGCGGCGGTTTTCCAGCCTCTGGATGCCTTTTAGCAGCTGCGTTTTGCCGAGGGCTTTCCGGAGGTGCCCAGAACGTCCCGAACGGCTGCTTGGGAGCCGAGTTATGACCCGAAGACCAGGGGCAACGTGGGGGGGGGGCTAGGCTCAGGGGTGGATGCATCGACCCCCAATCGCCCGATATGGACCTCATAGGCCACCCCGCCCAGGAACGTGCGATTTGGCTCTCGGAGGTATATCGCCGACCTATCGGCGATGTATTACCGATTCTTACTTGTTCATTTTGCCCCCCCTGATCCAGTCCTCCCCTAACGTTGCCCCGCAGGTGGAGGACCTACCCTGGGTCGAGGGCCCGCGCCAGTGGATCCGGAGTGAGTACGGCATCGACGTGTTTGAGGATCCAAAGTGCTAAAGAAGAAGAAGAAAAAAATAATCACGGGGGAAAACACACAGACACAGTTAATCGTCAATTCCCCAGACAATATAGGAAAATATGGGAAGTGTGGGAAGTCAAAAACCTAGAAAATATTGGAAAATGTGGGGAATCTGTTATTTGTGACTATTTTTTTCTGTGTCCCAGGGCCCCTTCAAAGAAGAAGAAAAAGAAACGCCACAAGCATTGGTGTTCGGAGCATGGCGCGGATTTCTTGGAAATCTTGCCAGGCCCCATCGGCGCCGCTCCTGGAGCGCTCGGTGTCCAGCGCAGAGTTCACGAAATCCGCGCGCACCTCCGAAAGTTTATGTTGTGCCGCTGTTTTCATTCAAGGATGCCAGTCTCCTCGAGTTCTACTCGCCCGTCCTGAACCTGGTGACCACCCTCGAGGACTTCTACGCCCCGCCCAAGTCGGAGAAGCAGGTCCGTAGGTTTGGCCACGCGCCCTTCCGCTGCGTGGGTGCCCTCCTGGACCCGGGCGTGAGGAGGATCGAGAACGCGGACATCGCCGAGGGGCTCGGCGCTGGGCTCGGCTCCCCGTCACCAGCCCTGCTCGCCGCCCTCAGCGCCAAGGAGGACGACTACCGCCTCGTGCTGGTGTCCCTGGGGACGGTGGCGACTGGCAAGTTCTGGCGAGAGGCCTTCGGCTCCGTGGCAGCCGACAACGACGAGTGGGTCGAGGGCACGAGGAGCCTGATGGATTACACGGGTAAGGATCAGGGGAGGGAAAGGTCCCGACACCGCCACCCTTCCGTTGTTCTCGCACTCTGACGCGCTCCAGGAGAGGTCCAGGGAGTAGCGGTATCGGTATCTTTCGGTTTCCCCGAAGAGGAGTTTTGCTTGTTCGTCTTTCGCGCTGTCTTCGAGGCCGTGGCAAGGGACCCCGGCATGTTCGCTATCGTCTCCATGGGGCCCAACATGGCGGACGCCCTGGAGGCTTTGCCCGAGCCTCCCTCTAACATGGTGGTTTGCAAGTCTGTGCCGCAGGTCGACCTGCTGCCTCTCTGCGACGCTTTCGTCACCCACGGGGGCGCCAACAGCGTGCACGAGGCCCTCTCCTTCGGAGTCCCCCTCTGCGTGGTGCCCATCTTCGGGGACCAGCCCACGAATGCGGACACGATCGCGCGCATCGGCGCCGGCGTGTCCTTCCGCAGCCCCCTGAGGACGCTGTCGGCCGACTCGCTGAGAGGCGCGCTGGGGGACATCGGGGGCGGCATCTTCCGGAGTACCTTCAAGGCCGCCGCGCAGGAGGCGTCCGCGAAGCTGGCGGCGGCCGACGGCATCGAAAACAGCGTGGATGCCTTGCTTGAGGCGGGGTCGGCACAGGGCGTGGCGCGCCAGGCGGAGGCGGCGGTCTCGACAAAGGAGGCCAGCGTCGCGCCCGCGAGGCGGCAGGCGAAGCTGGGGGGCGCCTGAGGCCGCTCCAGCGCGGCGGCGCCCATCCTCGAAGAAGAAACAACTGCATAAGCATAAACTTTCGGAGCTCCGCGAGGGTTTCCTGGATCGGCGCTGGAGCCCCCAGGCGGCGCCTCCGGCGCCGCCCATGGCGCGCTTCCGCGCGCCAGGGAGGGGGCCTGAGCGCCGATCCCAGGAATCCGCGCGGAGCTCCGAACGGAAATGTTTACTGAGGGTTCGCGTTGCGTCGACGGGCGGTTTCTGTTCCTCTACACCCAGCGCTTGACCGTCTGGGTGATTGCCATCGCGAGGTTGGGCCATCGAGGCGCCGACCGCGCGCGCACCGTTGGCGGTGGCGGCCTTTTCTCGGCTGGGGGGGAGGGGGGGCGGGCCGCCATGCATCTCTGCTCTCCGCGGCCCAGCGAGCGGCTGCCAGACAGGGCCGTGGCCCCGAAGGGGAGCCACGGGGAGCGATCATCTGCCGCAGGTACAGGACATGCGAGTTTGGACGTTCTGCCCATTCGCCTCCCAGCATATTTCAGATGTTGCTGGTGCCAGAGTCCTCCATCCGCAGGGTGGGACGCACATCCAGGAGCACTAGCGAACGAATGCGAGTCTGTGAGTACCGGCCACTATGGAGTGCACACACGATGCAGCCACAAGCCATTACAGTGATAATTCGATAGAGTTTGACTCGCTTGCAATTGGAAAAAATATTGGAGATGCTCGGGATCTACCTCAGAGCTTTCCTGTGGCCCTCTTGGTTTGAGCAATTGTCGAAGACATCTGGGGCTACACCTTTCAGTCAGGTGTTCGTTCGGTGGACCTCTTTGGGGGCCACCTGACGGATCTGTTCGACTCTAGTTCGACTCTAGTTCGATTCTATAGGTTTACGCCACATCCGCCGACCCCTATATAAACTATTGCGCCTCCAGGACTGCATTTCACGAGGCTTGTCCGAACCATGGCACGGCGCTCGACATCGTTCCTGTTGTTTCGTTGCTGTTATCGTACCTCTTGGTGCTCTTTTTTGGCCCTCTGGTGGCTTCTTGGCCTGTCTGCAGGCCATATCTGGCCGCCTCGAGGCATCTTGGGCCAAGTTTTGGGGCCTCTTGGGGGCTTCCGGGCGCTTCTTGGAGGCCATGAAGGTTCTCTTGGGGGTCCCTCAGGGCCTCTTGGGGTGTTCCTGGGGCAGGCTGGGGGCGTCTTGGGGCCGAAGGCTCGAAAAGGTGCCCTCTGGACTCCGTCTTGGAGCCGTCTGGGGGCCCTCTTGGGCTGTCTTGGGGGCTTCGTGGGCTTTAGTTGGAGCCTCTTCGACCCTTCTTGGGGGCTCCTTTGGCCGTCTGGGGGCGATATTGAAGGTTTCTTTGCCCGTCTGGAACGTTATGATAACCGAATAGGCGAGCATGCGACAAATGCTTGTTTTCTCAAGGGAATGGGACAATTTCTGTTTCTTGGGACCCTCTTGGGGCGCATCTTGGGGGCCTTTTGGGGCGTCTTGGCAGCTTCGGAGGCCGCCTGGAGACCATCGTGGGCGTCCAGGGGCGATCTTTCGGCGAATCGTGGCCCCCCCCGGGGCCGTCTGGGGAGCGTTTTTGTACCTTCTTGGCCAGTTTTGGAGCCCTCCGCTCCCCCGTGGCGCGTTTGGTCCTGGGTCGCGGGCGGCCAGGGGGGGGAGGTCAAATTGCCGGTTTGGGGTCCTTGGGGGGGGGGATCATGAGGGGGGATGGATGATCTCACACGCTTAGAGACCCACAAGGGGTCGGCGGATTCTGGTTCGATTCAAGTTCGACTCAAGTTCGATTCACGTCGACGGACGTTCGACGCAGCATCGACGCATGAGTGGAGCGAGTGGCTCCAGGAAGGTCCCAGAGCGAGCGTCTCACGTCAGCGTGCTACTCCCTCGTTGTTGTCCGAGGCCTGGTGTCCCTTCAGCAGTACAACGCTGATGGGCTCACCACGCCAGCGTGTCACTGATGCTGTTCCTGCCTCCCCCCCACCCGTTGGTTCGGCGGGGGGATTGTCCAGCGCGCGCGCGCGAAGACGATCGCGCTCCGCGCGTCGCGGCCTGGGCTGGAGAGCTGCCCTCCTCCACTCCAACATCGAGGGGGCGCGAAGATGAGCGCGCGTCGCGCATCGCGGGGCGCGATTCGCGAATCTGGGTGACGTGGCGCAGGAGGCCTCGAGCGGCTTGCAGCCACGCGAGCAGCACGTTGCTCAGCCCGTCCCGTCCAGTTCCCGTGCCCTTCCCAGAAAGAGGGTCTCCCGCTCGGATCCGCGGCCCCCCTCAAGCGAGCCATATTGTATAGTCTGGTGTCCACCGGGGCCAGGCGCGTCGGCGAGAGGGGTGTGTCACTCGACGAAGGCTTAGAGGCGTTCCTGTCCATGTTCAAGCATAACTTGTTTTGCCTTCCACTCCCTACCTGCTTCCTTCTTCCTGTTTGGTACATCAGTTCCCGGCGTGGGAGAGTGTGGGAAAACTTCTTAGAATATTAGAAGGAGGTTGTTTCTTAGAAGGTGCCGGCCTTACATCTGTAGGCAAGGCCCGTGCCTTCCAAAAAGCAGCCTCCTTCTAAGAAGCCTCCTCCCTCCCCCTGGCCCTTCGCTCGCTTCGCCCAATGGGCGTGCCCATCGATAGGGGGTACAACCCCTTGGAGGGTCATGTTAGGTTCTTTTCTTCCAATGGGATACTACCCCCTGGGCTACCCTGCGCTAGCCCTGCTAAGGAGGAAGGAGGAGGAGGAGGAGGAGGAGGAAGAGGAGGAGGTAGAGGAGGGGGAGGAGGAAGGTGGACGAGGAGGGAAAGGAGTGGAAAAAACACGTGTTATCTTCAACATCCAATCTATCACAGTTAAGGGTTCATTTCCCAATTCTTGGGCACGTTGAAGGCGCATGTTAGTTTCAACATCCAATCGGTCACCATTAAGCGTTCACGTTAGCTTCCAAGCCAACATAGCGACTTCTGCATTGTGGGCAATACGAAACTCGCCACGCGCGCGTCCGCGCGCGCGTGATCGGGTAACCCACGCGCGGTTGGGTCACCCGGATTTTGGGCCAACATGACTGTTCTATTGTGGACAGTACAGAACTCGCCACGCGCGCGTCCGCGCGCGCGCGATCGGGTGACCCACGCGCGGGCGGGTCATCCGAAATCCGGTTGGCCACCTGTAGGGACGTTTTTTTTTAGTTACCAGGCCAACGTGGCTATTTTTATATCATTGAAAACGTTGGAAAACGCATATCAATTTCGAACTCCAAGCGGCCATTGTTAAGTGTTCGCTTCCTTTGCCAGGCCAACACGGCGACTCTTCCATGGTGGATGCTACAAAACTAATTACGAGCGCGTCTGCGCGCGAGCGCGCCCCACGCGTCCGCGTCCGCGCGCGCGTGAACGGGTGACCCACGCGCGGGCGGGTCACCCGAAATCCGTTTGGTCACCGTTAAGGGTCCACTTTCGTTTCCAGGCCAACATGGCGTCTTCCCCAGTGTGGACAATGCAGAATTCGCCACGCGCGCGGACGCACGGGGCGCGCGCGCGTGCCGATGCGCGCGTGGCTAGATTTGCACTGTCCACAGTGGACGTGGTGCCCTTTTTGCTTGGAAACGAAAGTTAATCCTTAACAGTGGCCGCTTGGATATTGATGTCGACATTCGTCTTTCAACGATTTCAAGAATATAACAGTCGCCATGTCGGCCTGGAAACTAAAGCGGGCCCTTCAAGTTGACCAGCCGGATTTTGGATTACCCGCCGGCGCGTGGGTCACCCGATCGCGCGCGCGCGCGGACGCGACCGTGGCGAGATCTGTATTGTCCACAATAGAACAGTCGCTATTTTGGCTTGTAAACGAAAGTGATCGCTGAACGGTGGCCAGCGGGTTGTCGGGTGACCTTCACGCGCGCGGGTGGCCCTGGAAATTAGAGTAAATTTTCAACCCTCACCAAATGGATTCCAGCATAGAAATAAGCCATGTTGGCCTGGAAACGAAAGTGAACCCTTAACGGTGAACGATCGGACTTTGAAGTAAGCGCTTTACGCTTCTACAAATACCGGAGAAAAAAAACAATCATAACGTGTTTGCGACATAAGGATAAGGCTACAAGGCTCTAAGGATATAGGGTTGGAAGGCTGTAAAGGTTAGAGGCATAGGACTATAAGGCTATACGGCTATACGGCTATCCGGTCTATATGGGGTACCTCGCATTCGGGCGTGCCGCCGAAATCGGCGCCGTACCTCACCTAACCATGTGGGTCCGCCTGGACCCCATACAGAGGCAGTCTCTGATTGGGGAATCGAACCATGTTGGTTTCGAAACTAAAATGAAGCCTCACGGTGGCCAGTGGGATTTTGCAGTTGACATGCAGTTCCAACGTTTTTCAAATGTAGAAGCAAAGTTGCAATGTCTCATGTGAGGAGGGAACGAGAATCTAGAAATGAAGATTGCAATAGACAAGTGTTTCGTTTTGACGCGGGAGTTTCCTTGAATTCGCCTGCGTCGTAATGTCTGGCAAAATTTGTGTTGCCGCCTGGTCGAGGCTTCTCTCCACGAGTTGGGTGGGATGGATAATGTCTGGGATTTATTTTTCCATTGGAATGCTCCATTTTGGGTTACCCTGCGCGCAGGGGGATGTGTTAACGCTTCGTTCTGATTCGTGAGTTCGCTCCTCGTTTTGATTCGCGAGTTTTCTCGAACTCGCCTGCTGACAAATATCTCGCAGGCGCCTTGTCGGCGCGCGCGGCGACATGGAATTACTTTCCATCTAGTTTTGGGCGGGTTGGATACTGTTCGGGAGTTATTTACGCAGCGGAATAACCCAACGCGGGTGGATCCCAGAACATTGTCGCATGAGGATTGCAATCGACATGTGTTTCGTTTTGATCCTGGAGTTTGCTCCAAGTCGCCTGCTACTTTTGCGTGGCAAAATTCCTGCTGGCGCCTGGTCAGCGCGCGCGGCGACGTGAGATGAATTGCTCTATATTGTCGGGTGGGCTGGATCATGTACGGGCATTATCTCTCAGCGGAATGATCAACTGTGGGATACCACCCTTCACGCGGGAGGATGTGTGAACATTTGTCCAGTGGGATTGCAGTAGGTATTGCTTCGCTTTGATTTGCGAGTTTGTTCAAACTCGCTTTCCTAGCATTGCCGGCGGAACTCCTGCTGGTTCTTGGTCGGCGCGCGCGGCGGCATGGGGTCAGTTTCCATTTATTGTTGGGCGAATTGGATAATGTTCGGGTGGTACTTCCCCAGCGGGATAACAAAGTGTTGGCCATCCTGCACGCAAGAGGATTCCTGAGCAACTTCTCGGGAGGATTGCAATAGAAAGGTGTTTCGTTTTGATTCGGGCTTTTTCTCGAATTCCCTTGCCGGCTCGCAGAACTCCTTCTCGCGCTTGGTCGGCGCCAGTGGTGTGGTAGTGGATGAATGTCGCATTTCTGTGGGCTTTCGTGGGGCGTGAGCTTCAAGAGTCCCTCTGAGGATGGACCTTCTGAGGGTAAAGTTTCTGCATGTTTCGTGGAGCCTGGGTTTCAACTGTGTTCCTGGGCATCAACCTTCTAAAGACGAAGTGGTAGTAGTCGTAGTGGTATTTGGGGTACTGGTAGCCCTAGTGCTAGTCGTAATACTATTAGAAGTAGTAGCAGTCGTAGAAGTAGTCGTCGTCGCAGTAGTAGTGGTAGTAGTAGTAATAGTAGTAGTAGTAGTAGTAGTAGTAG